CCACTTTCCTGTGCCTAGTGCAGAGGTCGTGGACGAGGTCCACGATGTCTGCACTGGACCAGGCGGGTGCCCGCCTCTTGTGGACCAGGGCAGGCTCCCGGGAGCTGCCAGCCTGGTCCCGGGGAGGGGGGGGGAGGTGGGGGGCATGCTGGAGCCGTGCCAGATGCAGGGTCTGCTGGCTGGGTGCTGGCAGGCTTGCACTTGGCATGGGCACCGTAGCCAGCCCGTGCCCCTTTAAGAGGTCCGGGGCCAAGAAGGGGGCAGTAGAGTTTTCCTGGTGTTGGCCAGAGTGGCCACCAGGGGAAGCTGGGGAGGGCCAGCCTCCCACCAGGTCGGATTAAGGGCTACACACCCCTTAATTCGAACTAGTAAGTTCGAACTAGGCTTAGTCCTCATGGAATGAGGTTTACCTAGTTCGAACTAAGCGCTCCGCTAGTTCGAATTAAGTTCGAACTTGCGGATCTCTAGTGCAGCGCCTATGAAAGTTAATTTGAACTAACGTCTGTTAGTTTGAATTAACTTTGTAGTGTAGACATACCCTAGGTCCTTTTCTACAGAACTGCTACTTAGCCAGTTGGTCCCCAGCCTGTAATTATGCTTGGGATTCTTCCGTCCCAAGTGCAGGATTCTACACTTGTCCTTGTTAACTCATCAGATTTCTTGTGGCCCAATCCTCTGGTTTGTCTGTCACTCTGGACTCTATCCCTGCCCTCCAGCGTATCTACTTCACCCCTAGCTTAATGTCATCTGCAAACTTGCTGAGGGTGCAATCCATCCCTTCATCTAGGTCATTAATAAAGATGTAGAACAAAACCTGTCCCAGAACTGAACCTTGGGGCATTCCTCTAGAAACCGACCACTATCCTATCCTGCCATCAAGCCGTTGATCACTACCTGCTGGATCCGACCTTCCAGCCAGCTTTCTATCCATCTTCCCATCCATTTATCCAATGGATCAATTTATTCCCTTAACTTTCTGGCAAAAATATTGTTGGAGATTGTATCAAAAGCCTTGCTAAAGTCAAGGTGTATCACATCCACTGACTTTCCCATATCCCCAGAACCAGTTACCTCATCATAGAAGCTATGATTAGTCAGGCATGATGATTGGTCAGGCATGACTTGCCCTTCATGAATCCATGATGACTATTCCTGCTCACCTTCCCCTCTTCCAAATGCTTCAAAATGGATTCCATGAGGATCCCCTCCATGATTTTTCCAGGGACTGAGATAAGACTGACGGACCTATAGTTACCTGGATCATCCTTCTTCCCTTTCTTAAAGATGGGCACTGCATTTGCCTTTTTCCAATCATCCGCGATCTCTTCCTATCTCCATGACTTTTCAGAGATAATGGCCAAAGGCTCCTCAATGACATTTGCCAATTCCCTCAGATGTATTAAGTCCAGAGCCATCGATTTATGTATGTCTAGCTTTTCTAAATAATTCCTAAGCTTTTCTTTCCCCACTAAGGCCTGTCCTCCTTTGTTCCATATTGTGTCACTTAGGACATTAGTCTGGGAGTTGACCTTGTCCGTGAAGACTGGCAAGGAAAGCATTAAGTACGTCAGCTTTCCCCACATCATCTGTCACTAGGGGTATGTCTACACTACCCCGCTAGTTCGAACTAGCGGGGTAATGTATGCATACCGAACTTGCTAATGAAGCCCGGGATTTGAATTTCCCGGGCTTCATTAGCATAAAGCCGGCGCCGCCATTTTTAAAAGCTGGCTAGTGCGAACCCCGTGCCGCGCGGCTACACGCGGCACGGGCTAGATAGTTCGAACTAGCTAGCTATTCCGAATTATCTGTACGCCTCGTGGAACAAAGGGATTAGATGGGATTGGTCTGGAGAACTCCCTCTCCAGACTATGTGTTAACAGCCCCTGTTCACAAGCTCTGTTCTAGGTCTGTTTTAATGCATGTCCTAATGCTGGTGAACTGTAGAGTAGCTTTAGTGCCCAATTGTACTGGGTGCTGAGGATCCCCAAGCAGTCCACCAGAATATCAATGACGA